AATGTCGAGTTTAAAAGTTATGTAGTCGTTCAACCCCTACGTTTATTGAGAGCTGCATGAAGCACGTGACCGCGTATCGGCGAGTTCAAAGAGTGTCGCAACTCTCTCTCTCTATGGCGCTGGTTCAGCATCTGGTAAGGATGCTCACTGGGCGCGTCCCTAGGGAGGTGCTTCAAACATGTCCGACTGGGAGGTGACCCTGGGGAAGACCCAGGACACGCTGGAGAGACTATGCCTCTCGGCTGGCCTGGGAACTCCTTGGAATCCTCCCAGAAGAGCTGGAAGAGGCTGTGGAGAGAGAGGTCTGGATCTCCCTGCTCAACATGCTGCCCCCCGAGACCCGACTCAATTCAGTTTATTTATAAAGCACCAAGTCACAACAGAAGTCGTCTCAGGCACTGAACAGAAACATTCACATATATAAAAATAATAAGTTAACTATTTATCTGAGGAGCAGCTTTGAGTTTAACTCCATCACTGAACTCTCATGTTGAACAAGCATGAAGGCGACAGTGGAAAGAAAAACTCCCTCAACAATGTGTCAGCCTCACGGACAGAGATTGGAAGTTGGTTCCACAAGAGAGGAGCCTGAGAACTGAAAGATCTGCCTCCCATTCTGCTTTTGTAAACTCTAGTTTGTTGTTTCTAATGTTAGTGATATTACGCAGGTGGAAGAAGGAGGTCCTAGTAACGTTTTTAATGTGGGGGATAAAAGACGTGTCCTGATCAAAAATAACACCAAGATTTTTAACATTAGAGCTGGAGGACAGATTAATGCATCTAAGGAGGGAGAAAGACTGAAACATTCATTCCTAAGGTGCTCAGGTCCAAAAACCAAAACCTCAGTCTTGTCTGAGTTTAAAGAAGTCCAGAATAAATGGAAGATAATGGATGGGTGAAAAGATGAACTCAAATTTGTTGTTGTCGTAGCTGAGAGTCAAACACAGCTACAGCTCTGTTCCTTGTCGTCATAAAATTATCCAAGATTAAATCTCTGGCACAAGAGGCAGGAATGGTATTTCCTAGATTTTCCAAGATGGCGGCGCGCATGGTTGCAGCGGCTCACAGCTCTCCCTTTCAGTGCTTTTTAATGTTATTTTTGTACTTCCTTTTTTCTTGTGTTTGCATTGCCGAGTTTGCAAACATCAACTATCGACGTCAGACCCCTTTGGACATCGGTGAGCAGCACCAAATACCTGTTTCGAGTGACTTTCATTACACGCACAACATCCCAGACGAAATAGCGAGATCACCGGGCTCTCCGTGGATTGTTGTCGGGCCTGGGAGGCGGCGCAGACGGAGAAGGGAGAGGAAGCAGAAGCGAGGCTGCAGGTCTGGCGTTATGCTAAGGCTAAGATCACAACCCCACAAGCCACTTCTACCGAGCCTTTATCTCTCCAACGCCAGATCCCTGGTGCATAAAACGGATTATTTGGAATTACAACTCGCTGGAAATCGCTATGTTCGTGACTGCTGTGTTCTGATTATCACCGAAACCTGGCTTCACCCCGGGATACCCGATGCTAGCATACAACTAGCAGGCCGCTCTCTGCTACGCTGGGACAGGACTGCGGACTCCGGTAAGAGCAGAGGTGGGGGGCTCTGTATTTATGTGCATGAGGACTAGTGTAATAACGGGACAATTATAGACAATCACTGTTCCTCAGACCTTGAGTACATGTCCGTGAGATGCCGACCTTTTTTTCTACCAAGAGAGCTAACAATTGTGATAATTACTACTGTGTATATACCACCCGATGCTAATGTAAATACGGCGCTCTCTCTCCTGCTGAACACCATCAATGAACAGTAGCGGGCTCACCCCGACGGTGTTCATATAATTGTAGGAAATTTCAATAGGGCTAATCTGAAGACTGTACTCCCAAAATTCTACCAGCATGTTAAGTGTTCTACTAGGGGGGAGAATACTCTGGACCATGTTTACTCAAACATTAAACACACATACAGAGCCATACCCCTCCCCCACCTCGGGCAGTCAGACCATCTTTCCCTCCTGCTCCCCCCAGCTTACACCCCCTCAGACGCAGAGCGAGGCCTACAACAAAAACTGTTACAACATGGCCTGGTAATGCACTCGATGACCTACAGGACTGCTTTGAACAAACTAACTGGGACTTATTTCAACATCAGGAAATGGAAACATACACAGGAACGGTACTGGACTATATCAACTTCTGCATCGGAAATGTGACTATGGTCAAAAACATTCGTGTTTACCCCAACCAGAAACCATGGATGACCAGCCAGGTCCGCACACTCCTCAGAGCCCGCGACACTGCCTTCAGGTCAGGTGACAAAGCTCTGTACCGAGCTGCTCGAGCCAACCTGAATAAGGAATAAAAACAGCAAAGGCTGACCATAAAAGGAATATAGAGTCCCATCTGTCCAGCAACAACTCAGGGGAGGTGTGGAAGGGCATAAAAAACATCACCAACTACAGAGGCTGTGAGGTGACAACAGGAGACCTGAGTGCATCACTAGCAGAGGAGCTAAACTGCTTCTTTGCACGCTTTGATGCACCACAGCAGCACCCATCTGATCCTGCCCTGCCCCCACACCCACCCGGTTACTGCACCACTCCACTCACTGTACGGGAGCATGATGTTAGACGTTCCCTCCAATCAATGAACCCCAGGAAAGATACTGGCCCAGATGGAGTACCTGGCAGGGTGCTCAAAGCATGTGTCCTCCAGCTCGCCCCCACCTTCACCAGAACTTTCAATCTCTCCCTGGCCCAGGCAGTCATCCCTCCCTGCTTAAAATCTGCAACCATCATCCCAGTGCCGAAAACGCCTACCATCACCAGCCTGAATGATTACCGACCAGTGGCTCTCACCCCGGTAATCATGAAGTGCTTCGAGAGACTGGTTCTCCAGCACATCATGGACTATCTCCCTCCGAACTTTGACCCCTACCAGTTTGCATATCGCACTAACAGAGGATGCTATTGCAGTAGCTCTCCACACCGCGCTGAGCCACCTGGAACAACAGCACAGCTACGTTCGAACGCTCTTTGTGGATTACAGCTCGGCCTTTAATACAATCATTCCGGACATTCTTATAAATACATTGGACAATCTCGGCCTCCCCCCACTCACATGTGCCTGGATAAAAGACTTCCTAACCAATCGGCCCCAATCTGTAAGACTTGGTCCCCACCTCTCCTCCACTCGCACGCTGAGCACTGGCTCCCCACAGGGCTGTGTGCTGAGCCCCCTGCTGTACTGTCTCTACACCCATGACTGCAGCCCGGCCCACAACAACAACCTCATCGTCAAGTTCGCTGATGACACCACAGTGGTCGGACTAATCTCTAAGGGAGATGAGACATTTTACAGACAGGAGGTCCTGGAGCTAGCAACCTGGTGCTCAGAGAAAAACCTGTCTCTGAATATCAAAAAAAACCAAGGAGGTGATTATTGATTTCAGGAAGCACAGCACCAACCTAGCCCCCCTTCACATCAACGGCGAGTGCGTGGAGAGGGTTCACACTTTCAGATTTCTTGGTGTCCATATCTCTGCTGACCTAAACTGGAAAGAGAACACCACAGCAGTCATCAAGAAGGCTCAGCAGAGACTACACTTCTTAAGAGTCCTTAAGAAGCACAACTTGAACACAAAACTGCTGCTGACCTTCTACCACTCGTCCATCGAGAGCCTGCTGACATACTGCATCTCAGTATGGTACGGCAGCTGCACCCTGGCTGACAGGGAGAGGCTTCAGAGAGTACTCAAGACAGCACAAAAGATAACTGGCTGCCCTCTCCCCTCCCTGATGGACATTTACACATCACGCTGCCTCAATAGAGCAGAAAACATAATCATGGACTCCAAGAAAGTTCAATCTGGTCCTCTGGACATTCAAAAAAA